CAATACATACTCGTTAAAGAACAGTTTGTAAAAAGGGCAAAAGAAAAAGAGGTGAGAGTGATTATGCAGGTTAGAATTCCTGTATTATGCATGGAACAATTTTAGAATTTTGGACAATATCTGAAGGTAGATGAAAGCATTTTACTTTGTTTCAAACCAATTTATTCCATATGAGAACAAAGATATCTCCTGCGACAGTAACACGTCTTTACAGATTTTTATCCGGAGAGGAAATATTTCTGCAATTAGTTAGCAAATCCTGAGGGAAGGGCTTTCTATGGTCTTGCTTGGTTCTGGTCCATTTCTAGACCTTAACCTGTTGGAGCCGCCGGTGAAGCTTGAAGTTGACCACAAGCGCAAGGTTGCAAGGCTGGAGCATGACCATCCCAAGAACAAAGAGTGCCAGCGGCAAGCTGAGTGAAGAAGCTGCTTCAGCCCAGAGAAGCCTGGCCCCAAGACAATCTAGACAGTGAGTTGCTAGGACAACAGGGTGTCACATGACATTAAATTGCTAAAAGGTATAAATAAAACCCCCTGCAGTGAGAGGCCAGTTCGTTTCCTCCCATCACGAGAGTAAGGGCTCCTGACCTCAGCTTTGTCTCTTCTTTGCTTTCTCATCCTCTTGTGGTCCTTCACCTCAAGAATCTCAAAGGCCACATGGGTTGCAGCAATTCACCAGGTACAGAAGAACCAACCTTCAAAGGAGTCCATGTTCTAGTTCCCAGACCTGTGAATTTTAGGTGACAAGAGGCTCTAATGATGTGACTATGGGTGCAGATCATAGAGCAGGGGAGATGACCCTGGGTTGTTTAGCTGAGCCAATCTAATCATGAGTTCTTTTTTTTTTTTTTTTTTGTCTTTTTCATTTTTATCGGTACCAGGGATTGAACTGCTTGCAAGGCAGGTACTTATGCCGCTGAGCTAAATCCCCAGCCCCTACTCATGAGTTCTTAAAAGCAGAGAATCTCTCCTGGCTGTTGTCAGAGAGGTTTAACGACACAAGGATTAAAGCCATGTGACGCTGCTAGCTTTGAGGATGCTGGATGGAGGTCACCAAGTGTTGGGAGTAGCCTCTGGAATGTGAGGAGGGCTAGTGAAAGACTCTGGGGAAATGCTGTGCAATACATGTATTTATATATTGCATAATACAGGAATTCTAACCTCCATAATCACATTCATCTTCTTTTCCTTTTGCCATTTTTACACATTATTATTAAACTATTATTTATTGAGTGTGAAGCATTATGCTACCCTATGCTAAGCATGGTGACACTGTTTTATTTATTTATTTATTTGGTCTTTCTGAGACAGGGTCTTGCTATGCAGTTCAGGCTGGCCTTGGGCTTACTTGTAGCCCAGGATGGTCTTGAACTTGCAGTGATCCTCCTACCTCAGCCTCCTGAGTGCTGGGATTACAGGAATGTACCACCACTTTTTTAAATAAACAAACAAACAAATAAATACATTTTCTAGCACTAAGGATTGAACCCAGGGCCTTTGCACTGAGCTACATTCTCAGCCCTTTTTTCTTTTGAAACAGGGTCTAAATTGCTAAAGTGTCCATGTTGATCTGGAACCCGATCCTCCTCCCTCAGTCTAGCAGGGTGCTAGGATTCCAGGTGTGTATCACCACAGCCGGCTCTGATGATGAGGTGATTTTAGCCTAGTGACTTCCATGTCAGACTCCATGTTGTTGTTTTGAACCACAGAGTCTGTGATACTTTGTTAAGGTGGCAACAAAAAACTAATAGAGAAGGAAGGTGGAAACCTGGTTTCTGTTGCTCCTCAGATACTCTCACCCCACCTGTCCCAAGCAGCTTCCTAGGTGATGTCTCACAAGGTCCTGCCATGACCCCCTCACCTCAGTCCCCAGGAGGAACTGGCTTGATTGAAATAAACCATGCGGATCCAGGAGGTACAATTCCAGTGCTTCTCGGGCCCCTGCTTTCAATCATTCGAGGTCAGTTCATTCTTATCCCATGCACCCAAACTGTCCTACCGAAGTCACAAACCTCTGTTGAGAGAGTCACAAACAACTGAAGGAGATGAGCTTTCAGAAAGGCCTTTTGAGACAACACTTGACAAGGATTACTGTGATTCTGTTGAATCTACTCTGCAAAGAACACATTTTCCTACTTCCAACGAACAGGGAGCTATTTACTGGCTAAGTGGCTTTCCCACAAGCAACAGTGTTCTGGCATTAAAATGTCCAAGCCCCAATTGGTCTGCTTTGTTTCCTCCAGTGAAACACATACAGTATCCTACCTCATATAGAAAAAAACCTTATCAGATTAGAGCCATTTCTTCTCGAGGCCTCATCACTTCCTGATTCTTTTTCTCTGCTCCTGATTAACCCAGTGCTTTAGGACAGCTATTGGACAAACCTGCATAGTGGCGGAGTGATGGGGAAATTTCTGAGCACTGACCACAAAGTCATCCTTCCTACTTCTAGGAAACAACACACGTTATTATGAGGCTCTGGATAGTCTAGCCTGTTTTAGTTACATTCTTATCATTGGGTCAAAATACCCAATACCCACAAGTTAAAGGAGGAAAAGTTTATTTCAACTAATAGTGGGGGTTTCAATTCATAATGGGCTGGCTTCGAGGGACAGGAGAGAGGTGACATGAAGGAAGCTCACTCATGGCAGGGTGGTAAAAAGCAGCCAGCACCCAGGGGAACAGGTGGGATCTACAGCCATGCCCACGGGGTCTCACTCCTCCCACCATGCTTCACCTGCCAACATCACACCCAGCTATAAATTCAGCAGTGGACTAACCCACAATCCAGTCACTCCCAAAGCCCCGCCTATGAGGGCAGAAGGCTTTGTGTGTGTGTGGGGGGACACCTAGATATAAGTCATAACACAGCCCAAGAGAAAAATTATAATTTAAACACAACTACATAATACCACACAAAATTCATGACATTTTGTCTTCTGAGATATATATATCTTTTAATTTTCCTTTTAGCAAACAGGTAAAGACCAGGTAAAGATGTTATAAATAAGGGAAAATCAGTTTTGGTCCCATCATTTTTGCCCCAGGGCATTTGGACCCCTCAAAGAATTACTGATTGCCTCCATGAAGCTTCATTCTAACCCTCCTTTTCTTTCAGCTGCTTGTTCTTGGTAGAAGGAGTATAGTCTGTATGGTTTTCTACTTGAAAATAACAGCCCGGTGTGGCAGTGCATGCCTGTAATTTCAGCACTCAGGAGGCTGAGGCAGGAGGATTGCTGAGAGTTCAAGGCCAGCCTCAACTACATAAACTTGAGTTACAGCCAATCCTTACAATGAATTGAGTCCATAAGTTAAGAGTCTGCTTTATTTATTTGTCTTATTAAGCACATATCCTTCATATCAAGCTGTTTCCTGGGCGACTGTGTACACCTCTGCTGGTCAATGGTACTCACTGAAGTTGGGCAGTGTTCATGACTGGAGTAGTTCCTGCCCCAGTGGAGATTAAATCCACTGCTTGTAGGAAGTCTTACTTGAACTTTGACTTCTCCCCTCAAACTGCAACGTGTGCTCCTATTATCTGTTGTACAATATACACGGTCATAGCACCTTACCTGGTCTTTTATCATAATGTTACCACCTGACTCCTACATTAGACTGTAAACTAAGAGCTTGGGAGTGACTATCACTGGTTATTTTCTAGGAGACAGGGACGCATTATTAAAGAGTCAAGAATCTGTCCTCGGGGCTGGGGATTTAGCTCAGCGGCATAAGCGCCTGCCTTGCCAGCAGGCAGTCCTGAGTTCGATCCCTGGTACCGGTAAAAACGAAAAAGACCAAAAAAAAAAAAAAAAAAAAAGAATCTGTCCTCTAGGAGCAGATAATCTAGCAACAGGAAGTAGAAAAAAAAGCTCAACATGTTCTGATAAATACTATGACAAAAAACGGGAGGGAAGGAGACTTTTTCTCACTTGGTTTAGTTCTTTACTCAAACACATGCATATGTATACATCAATCCTCCCCTCCCTCTTTACTTTGACTTAGAAAACTTTCGTAAACTTGGCCTAGGAAAGATACTATCCATTTAAAAAGAAAACCTACATTTAGGAATGGAATAGTAGGGGGCCGGGATTTAGCTCAGTGGCATAAGTGCCTACCTGGCAAGCATGAAGTCATGAGTTTGATTCCCGGTACAAACAAACAAAAAACCCCAAAGCAATGGAATAATATACACCTAGTAAAAGGGAAGCAAGTTTTTCAGATCTTGACTTCGGCAGGTATTAGGCCACAGCAGATAAAAGGCTTATATAGACTAAAAGTCGAGTACTTGTTTTCTAAAACGCCAACACTTTTTAAGACTTTTTTTTCAGAATACATTTTAAAAATAACCAAAAACTCTGAAAACCCTACGCTGGTTCTGGGTTTGCAAAAGAGCACTGCACACAATGTGGCACTCGCATGTAGACCTTTCGCAGCTGGCTGGGGTGTCTGGCGTCGTGAGTCATTAAGTCTTCTCAACCTGTCCTTAAGCATCTGCATAAGGGAAGGACATTTTAGTGAATCAAGAAAGACATCACTAACACTAACACTAGCATTTTCACATCCCTTCTTGCCTCACTTCCTAGGCTTCAGCCCAGGAGTCCTCAGAGAATCCATTCCTACCTGTCCCAAATCTGCGCCTAGTCGCACAGCCTCCTGGGACTCGTAGGCATCCGCGGGCCGCCCTGCAAGAACTACAACTTCCGGCAGGTTTTGCACCTCCCCAGCCCTCGCGGCGCAAGGTTTGCCGGGAGGGGCAGGGAGCGGCAGTCTGGATCCAATGGGCGCGGGCTCCGGTGGGGAGGGCAGAGGAGAAGAGGAAGGAGGTGGGCTCCAGGCCCAGTCCCCATTCATTGCTGCGGCCAGCTGGGTGGGGGTGCGGTGTTTTCGGAGTCATGGAGGCGCTGATTCCTGTCATCAACAAGCTCCAGGACGTTTTCAACACGGTGGGCGCCGACATCATCCAGCTGCCTCAGATCGTCGTGGTGGGGACGCAGGTGAGAGACGGCGGCGGCGCAGGCCAGAGTCCCGAGCGGGTTTGGGCGGTGTTGGCGGCCTGGAGGAACAGGTCCCTGCCAGGGCCCGGCCGCTCCCGCACCTGCTCGCCTGCTGGGCGCGCCCGGAGGACAAGCCGAGGCTACCAACCGGCAGGGCGGAGCTGCGTGGCCCGGAGGGCCTGCGGGAGTGGAGCGGCGGGTGGAGGAGAGTCCTGGCCGGCGTGGCTTCCAAGGGCACCTGGGGGACGCGAGGCGCGCGGGCCGGCGCGGGCTCTGCTCCCTCTGTTCCCTCTGCTCCTTCCCGGTCCCGTGGCGGGGCTGCGGGGCGGCCTAGAGCCGCGCTGGAGCCCGGAGGCCTCTCCTGTGTTTCCTACTCCCGACCCCTCTACCTGACCGGAAAGGCCGAGGCAGTGTTGCAGAATCACCAACAAATAAAATTAGCTTTAAAAATCCCACTGGTATCTGGACGTCTTTGGGTGTTAGGAAGGAATAGTCGGGTGTTCTGCTTAGGCGTGTTTTTTGTCTTGAACCGTTTTGTGATTGTGACCTAAATTGGGCGTCAGGTTCTCTGGACTTTTGGGTCTCAGAAGTCGTCGTCTTTTTTATGCACACATATTAAGCATGTTTTCTAGAGTGACAGACATGTGAGTTTCATTTTCTTTGCCTACTGTTCTTTTTGACTGAACAGGAATCCTATTAGGGTTCAGAGAAAAGCATTTTAGAGATAACAGTGTATAGACTTTAAGTGCATTAATTTTTCTTTTGAGCTGAAGGTTTCCTCATCGTTTTCCATGAGGTTCACTGCTACATCTTGTACAAAATGAAAGTGCATGGAGTAAAATTATGAGAAGGAACTGATGTTTAGAATATTAGAAGATATCAAACAACTGTAAACCGTGGAAAACATGTATCTGTACTTTTGCTACTGTTTTGCTTTTGGTTAAAACAATAGAAGTTACTTTTGAAACAAATTTCCTTGGTCTAGTATTCTCAATTCTATCTACATACTTAGGATTTGAACACTTACCATTTTAACGTTTGGAGACTCTGAATCATCAAATATAATAAATCACGACCAGCATTTTTATTAAGCATAGTTTGTTGTCTGTGTCACATAATAGGTGCTCTGTAAATATTTAGAGTGAATATTACTAACTAGACAATATTTTAAAACATTGGAACTTTTAATATCAAAAGCAATGTTTCATAAATAGAATTATAGAAAGGATATTATACAATAAATTTTCTTTGGTAGTAATTTGCATGTGTTGTATAGCTGCATATAAACTTTCTATGTATTTTAAAGAAATTTTCAGTGCTTCTTAAGTGTGAAAAGAATCAGGGCTATATTGTATCAGCATAAATAGTTTAAAATCAAGAAGGATTCTTCTTACACAAAATAGCGTTTCAGTCAGTAAACCTTGTTGGCAGAAATAGAAAGAGACCTGAGAGAAAAGTAAAAAGTCATCCATCTGAAAAGCCATTAACCTGTGCTGATAGAAACACATGCTAGCAGTGATAGCTATATGCCACCATTGTATGTTGTTTGACATTTCTCAAGGGATCAGTTTTGACTTAGTAACGTTTATCTTTTTCAAACTCATTGTTAAATTCAGTCTTTCATTCAGGGGTAGAAGTAAGGAATGGAAACGGTTTCTTTTCCTTTAAATATTAGAGTTTTGGAGAAGAAAAAAATTCTTCTACTGGATTTGAATATAGTACCACAGTGGTGATCAACCTATGGGCATGCATGTTGTTTGTCTTTTAAGGCAACGGATCTTCTTTGTTTTTTTTGTTTTTTGTTTTTTTTTTTGGTCTTTTTCATTTTTATCGGTACCGGGATCGAACTCACGACCACCTGCTTGCAAGGCAGGTGCTTATGCCGCTGAGCTAAACCTCCAGCCCCCAAGGCAAAGGATCTTAATGTAGGTATTCTTTTCTAAACGAAAACCTCAGTGTTCAGGTTTAATTGCTGTTGGCATTTTGTGATAAGTAAGTGGCTTTTGGGTTGTAGTTTGGGCATTTGTCTCTAAAAGATTTGCCATCACTGGCTCACCACCACTTTGTCATTCATGCCATTTTTACTGTTTGATGTTGTGTAACAAATACACACATCTATTTTAAAATTTTAATTTTTATTAGTACATGTTTACAGTACATAATGATTAGTTTCACTGTGGGTATCTAGTACATGTGCATAACACATGGTAATTTTTTTTTTTTTCCTGAGACACTATCTCACTCTAGTTCATGCTGGCCTTGAACCTTTTATGCATGTAGCACAGGTCCTGTAGTTTAATCTGGTCTTTAGTTATGTAGCCCAAACTGGCCTCAAATGAATTTACAGCGATCCTGCCTAAGGCTCCTGAGTCCTGGAATTATGTGCACCACATCCGCCCTTGCTGGTCCCATCTTGTTGAACTTCTTAGGAAAGTGATTCCCAGACTCCAGTGTGTAAGTCACTTTGAAAATACATTTCCTAGATCCAACTCCTAGAGAGTTTTGGTGAGTTTGCAGTAAGCATGCTAGATGGTTCATAGACTCTAAACTGAAAAGTGTATGAGTGAATCATTGAATTTTATAATGCACAATACTAGAAAAATCAAGAATAATTCAGGGACCTGTGTCAAAGGGTGGACAGTATAGTACCATGTTGATTTTGATGATATTCTTGCTTCAAAATATAGATTCCTAGGCAACCTTTGCTAACTCCTAAATGTTTTGAACCTTGATTTTTAAAAAATTGCCCAATAATACTTATTTGGGTACCAAGGCATTGCAGGCATTTAAGAGTGAGAATCATGTTTACAGGTATTATTCACAGTTTTTATTATTTAGCTAAATATATTGCTTTTTTCTTTCTTTAGCTGAGATCATCTGTGTGGAAAGAACAGAGAATGGGGAGAGAGAAGGTTGATACTTTTAGGCCGTGGTATACTTTGCAGGTGGAGAAGGAGATAAGACTTTAAACAACTTTTGTGACTCAACTTGGAAAATTATTCACTATTTAAGTTGAGAACTGGAAGGGGGAGCCCTCCAGGTACGTAATTCAAACCACCACCTAGAATAGGCCCACAATGCAGGTGACATTAACCTAAGACTCTGGCTTAGTGTTGCTGGTAATGTACTTTCCACTTTGCTTCTTTTTTTTTTTTCAGTGATTAGCTCAGTAGTTGAGACCGATGTAAAAAGGGAGATTGAGTTTTAATGACCAACTTGTAAACCAGGCATTTTAAAATGAAGAAATTCATGAAACATAAAATTCACTGCTATGAAGTATACAATTCTGTGGTTTTTAGTATATTTATAAGGCTGTACAACCATGACTAGTATCTAATTTTGGAACACAGTCATTACCCCAGGAGGAAACCTCCTTAGCCATTAGCAGTTACTCCTTCATTTTAGCCCCTTCTAGCCTCTGACAACTACTAATCTTTTTTTCTGACTCCAGATTTAGAATTGAAATTGTACATGTGGGCTTATTGTCTGGCTTCTTTTGTTCAACATAGTGCTTTTTTAGGTTCATTCATATTGTAGTATGTGTTGTATAAGTTGAATATCTCTAATCTAAAAATTTAAGTCCAAAATGCTCCAAACAGAACTTTTTGAATGATTATAATGCCACAAGTGGAAAATTCCATATATAACCTCATGACAGGGTATAGTTAAAATACAGGGACACTAAAAGTGTTGCATAAAATTACCTTCTGGCTGTGTGTACAATAAAGTGTATATAAAACATAAAGCAATTTCATGTTTCAGTTTGGATTGCGTCCCTCATTTACAATAAATAAATGTTCCAAAATCTGAAAGAAATCCTGAAACTAAGACATTTCATGTCAAACCATTTGAGATAAAGGATGCTCGCCCAGTTTGCACCCGTTCCTTTTTTATGGCCAAATAATGTTCCATTGCATAGATTTACTACTTTCTTCCATCAGTTAATAGGCATTATGAATAATGTTGCCATGAACATTTGTTTGTAAGTTTTTATGTGAACCATATGTTTTCAGTTATCTTGAGATGCAAGTCAAATTTCTGGGTTATACAGTAACTTTTAATTTTTTGAAGAACTGCCAAACTCTTCTTCACAACACCTTTCACATACCCTCCTGCAACAGTTTATGACCGTTTGGTTTATGCACATCTTTACCAACATTTGTTACTGTCTTTTCTTTTAAATGCTAAATCATTCTGGAATCATTTCTTTGGAAAACGAAGCACCTTTGAACTCCTATCCTAGTGCCTTCTAGGACTAACCTTTTAAAAAAATTGTTTGATACCCTTTCTTTTTTCCCAAGCGTACTTTCTACATTTTAGTTCCTCCAGGAGTCTTGGCTTCTTCAGGTATTGTGTACATTTGTGCTGTGCTTGTAAGAGCTGATGGCTTTATTAGGTTCAGTAATTTGGAGCCAAATAGTGATTACATATTTCATTTTTTCTGATGTTATAATTGTTTTCTTTTGAGAATTCTTAAACAGTTTTCCCATATTCTTTCAGTTTCTTGTGTAACTGTTGCCACTTCCTTTTTTTAACTTAAAAAAACTGTGAAAGTTATATAGCATAAAATTAACAATTTTATTTTAATTTTGGTATAGGGAATCAAACTTGGGGCCTTGCACTTGCCATTGTAGGCGCCACACCACTGAGCTACATCCCAACCCAAAATTACCATTTTAAAAGTGGAAATTGAGGTCATTTAGTACATTTGTATTGTGAAACCAACATCTTTGTCTAGATCCAGAACATTTTCATTGCAAAAGAAAACTGTACTCATTAAACAGTCATTCTGAATTTCTCTTGCAACCCTTGGCAACCACTAGTCTACTATCTGTCTGTAGATTTACTTGTTCTGGATACTATATTGTGGTAGAATTATACAACATGTAATTTATGTCTGGCTTCTTTCATGTAGTATAATGTGGTCCTTTCATGTTGCATATGTACCTGTACTTCATTCCTTTTAATGGCTGCTGAGTAATATCCCATTATATATGTAAACAACATTTTGTTTACTTGTACATCCACTGATGACCAGTTCAGTGTTTTTACCTTGTAACTGCTATGCATAATGTCACTGTAAATATTTGTCTTAAAGAATTTATCAGTCCTTTTGGTGTATACCTAGGATTAAAATTGCTTGATCAATGTAATACTTCTGTGTTCAACTTTTTGAGAATGGTGAAACTTTTCCAAAGCAGATGCAGCACTTTACATTTCCTATCAGTGACGTATGAATGTCTCAACTTTTTCGTATCCTCATCCTTGTTTCCTCTGTTTTTCTGGTTATTGCCATCCTAACAAATGTGAAGTGTCATCTCTTTGTGGTTTTGCTTTGCCTTTCCCTAGTGACTAATGATGCTAGCCATCTTTTCATGTGCTTGTTGAGGTTGTCTTTTTATTGCTGAGTTGTAAGAATTCTTTATAAATTCTAGATTCTTGAGCCTTAATATATGGTTTGCAAATATTTTCTCCCTTTTAGGTTGTTCCCTTTCTTGGTAGTGTTGTTTGATGCACAAATGTTTTTCATCTTGATAAAGTCCAAGTTATCAGGGCTGGGGATTTAGCTCAGTGGCTTAAGTGCTTACCACCTGGTAAGCACAAGGTCGTGAGTTCAATCCCCAGTATATAAAAAAAAAAGATTCCAAGTTACCTGTTTCTTTTGTTACTTGTGCTTTTAGTGTCCTGTTGAAGATATTTCAAAATCCAAAGTGATGATTTATTATTTTGTGTTTTCTGCTAAGGGTTGTATTGTTTTAGCTTGTACATTTAGTTTTTGTCTGTTATGAGGTAGGGGGTAAAATTTCATCTTTTGCATATTCCTAGCCATCTGGTCCATTTGTTGACAAGATTATTCTTCAACACTATTTTTACCATGCTGTTGCAAATCAATGGACTTTTTTTTGTACCAGGGATCAAATGTACAACCTTACGCTTGCCAGGCAGGTGCTGTGCTGCTGGGCTGTATCCCTACTCCTCAATTGACTTGTGATGTGTGGATTTATTTTTGGACTTCCAGTTGTCTTCTGTGTGTCTGTCCTTATGAAATTGCTATATTGCCTTAATTAGCATAGCTTTTCATCTACATTGACACATGATGAATGAGTCTCCCAACTTTGCTCTTGAGATTTGTTTGGTTATTTGGGGCCCCTTACCATGCCACACGAATTTGAAAATTAGCTTTTTCATTTCTATATTCAAGACTTGGGATTTTTTTTTTTTTGAGACAAGGTTTTGCTATGCAGTTCTGGCCGTCCTTGAACTCACTTTGTATAGCTCATGTTGGCTTAGAACTTGCAGCAATCCTCGCCTCCTGAAGTTCTGGGATTACAAGCATGCACCACCAAGCAAGATTTGGGATTTTTCATAGTGATTATATTGAGTCTGCAGATTGCTTTGGGAGTTTTTCCATCTTTATAGTGTTAAGTCTGACACAGAATTTGTGGTTAGTAATCTTTTTCTTTTAGTACTCTTAAATTATCCTCTGGCTCCCATGAGTTCTGAGGACATATCTCTTACATCTGTTTTTGATCTTACTGAGCTCTCCAGTGTGTGATATGTTGCCTCTCTGCTTCTTCCTGCTTTTAGACTTTGTGTCAGCCACACAAAGTGTAATAGTTTAATTGTAATTTATCTCCATGTGGATCTTTTTATGTTTATCATTGGATTTCTTAGGTATGTAGATTCATGTCGCTTATGATTTTCTGGTTTTTTTTTTTTATGGAAAAAGTGAGGTTTATATTTACTTATTGGTCCTAAAGATTGAACCTAGTGCCTTGTGCATGCTAGGCGCACTTTGTGCCACTGGGCCCCGTAAAGTGGAGACAATCTTACTTTAGCAGGAAGATTGTGAGTTTGTGATCAGCTTGGGGAACATAACAAGTTTAAGACTGCCCTAAACTACAAAATGAGACCCCAAATAACTACATTTTAGCATCTTAACTTAGGAAATGGTTTAAATTTTAGATTTATATTTTATGCAGCGGTAGAGACTTTGAACCATAAATTTAACTGTCTTAAATTTTGTGTAAGAGCCGGAATTTAGCTCAGTGTCACACATGCCTGCCTGGCAAGTGCAAGGCTGTGAGTTTGATCCCCCAGTTCCAAAAAAAATGTTGTATGAATAATATTTTTGATACTATGAGAAATAGTCAAATGAACAAGTACTAAGGAAACCTCTTCTATAAATCTGTAATTATTTCAAAATAAATGAAAAATGTAACAGACACACACTCTTATCAGTTATATTAATATTAAAATAAAGAATTAAGAGACCTGTCTTACACAATGAGAAATAAAAGTTAAAATATGAAGGTAGGTATCCTGGTGTAATCCCAGCACTCTGGGAAGCTGAAGTAGCTAGATCAGAAGTTTGAGCCCATCTTGGGGAATGTAATGACTTAGCAAGAACCTAGCTCAAAATAAAAGTTTAAAAGCAAATGGGGATGTAGTGGGCAAAGCCTGTGGGTTCAATCCCTAGTGTGTGTGTGTAAAATTAGCCTTTATTGAATCAGGCTATGGTCCTCATCAGAATACCAGCAGCATTCCTTACAGAAACTGATAAGAGAGAGAGATACACACCTTCTTCCTGCCATTACATTGTATGCTGGCTCCACCCCATGTAGGTGTAGCACTAACACCGTCAATCCAAGCGCTAGACAATGAACCAATCACAAATGCATAATGCAAACACATGAGGCCTGGAGGCCACCGACCTAAACCATGACAAAACCCCATGCACATTCAATTATTTAATCTTTGACAAAGGGACCAAGACACACACTTGAGAAAAGATAACCCCTTTAATTGGATATCCACACGTAGAAAACTGAGTCTACATCCACATGTCTCACCACATACTAAGCTAAAATGAAAAGGATCAAAGATCTAAATGTTAAAACAAACAATCTGTTGAAAAATAAAATATGTAAAAATCTTGAAGACATAAGTGGAGGTGAGGACTTTCTGAACAAAACCCCAGTGGCACAGGAAGTAACACTAATAATAAACAAGTGGAATCATCAAAATAAAAAGCCTTGTGCACAACAAAGGAAACAGTCAACAGAGTGAAGAGACAACCTGCAGACTGGGAAAAGATTTTGTCTGCTACACTTTGGATAGAGGACTAATATTTAGAATACATAAAGAACTAAAAAAAACTTAGCCACCTCCAATAAAAGACCTTGTCAAAAAGTAGGTGATTGAAATGGATAGATACTTTTCAGAAGTACAAATAGTGTATAAATACCTGAAAAAGAATGACTATTTGAGAAATGGAAATTAAAGCAACACTGAGATTCCACCATACTCCAGTCAGATAACAACCAAGGCTATGGACAAAAGGGACTCCTCTACATTGTTGCTGGGAGTGTAAACTAGTACAGTCATTATGGAAATCAATATAGAGATTCCTCAAAGAACTGAGAATAAAAATTCAATTTGACCCAGCTATTCCTCTTTCCAGGTATCCTCCTGAAAAAGTTAAACAGATATTACTGTGATAATGCATCCTTGGAATACACCATGGAATCCTATTTTTGGAGCAGTCAGAATCCAGGTGCACCTCACTTGACCACCCTCTCTACTCCTCCAAGGAGGCCCATAGTACAGGCTTCACAGCCCTGGGAAAAACGTTCTTTGCCACACAGTGCCCCAACCCTTTGTGCCACATAAACTGTGCCACATTTTTAAAAAATGAGTATAACAAAGTAATGAACATAAAAATAGAAAAGGTTGGAGTAATATGGAATGAAATTGTAATCTTACCTGAATTGCTTATGGCCTTCTGCGGCAAACTTCCCTTTATAGAGTTGGACACTTTAGATTAAAGATGATGTTTATAGAAGGGAGAGCGAATAAAGGAGTTGGTATATAACTGAATCCAAGCCTGTGGCTGCACCAAGTATCTCCTTTGGGTGTAGCATGGAAGGGGAAGGGGAAATACTCTTACTCCTTTTATTACCTGTTTAGTACAGGATTGTAAGTCATGTTTGAGAATTCCAGTTATTTTTTTATTATTATTATTGGTACTGGGGATTGAACCCCTGAACTCATGCTTACCAGGCAGAAGTTTACGCCACTGAGCTAAATCCCCAGCCCCTGCTGTTATTTTAAAAAATGGAAGATGTCAAAGAAATATAGAATACAAGAATGTGAACACTCTTAAACTTACTTGTGAATTAAGAAATTTTGTTAATACTCAGTTAAATTACTGTCTTTCTCAGAGAGAGAATCACTTTCTTGAGTTTAGGGGTTTATCATGCCCATGACTTGCATTATACATATAACATATGTACGGATGACATAAACAATATACAATACTGTCTAACATAACTTTAAACCTGAGATAATTGGTGTCAAGTACTAAATGCTTTATTCAGTGTTTTATCCACTGTTATGTATATATAACTTATGCATGTAATATACATACATGTTCCTTCCCTTTACAATGTTAAATAAAGGATATAGGAATATATCACAATTTCCTGTGGTGCTGAGGACATTAGCGTGTTATCCTTTGTTTGCCATACAGTTTTGATAATCAATGAAACTGTGAACATTCCTGTCTCATTGTCATGTTTGAGAATTTCGTTCAGTTATCAAGAAGTGGAATTGCTAGATTTTAGGGGTTTTTTTCATTCAGTTTTTGGAGGTAGGGTCTCACTATATTGCTCAGGCTGGCTTAGTTTGAACTCTCCATCCTTCTGCCTGAATGCAGTGATTACAGCCTACCATACCTAGTCGTTTATTTTTATTTTTATTGAGTATGGCTGTATGCTCCATAGAATGGTTGATTGTGACCATTTACATTCCTACCAACAAAGTAAGGTTTGTTCATGTATGTTCACAGTTGGTATTGTATTGTCACATTTTTCATTTATGGTATTTTGTGCTTTTTGTTGTAGACCACTGATTTCTAGTGACTGAGCATCTTACCATGATCCTTGACCTTTTCTGTTGTTGTGATTTTCTGTTCCTGTCTCTGCAGTATTTTCTATCAGGTTATTCATCCTTTGTTTATTGTAGGGGTTATATGTTGTTGTTACTAAATTTTTTTTCTTTGCTAGGGTTAAACTCACGGCCTTGCACATGCTAAACATATGCTGTATTCTGACTACTAATTCGTTGTCAGTTATATGGATCACATGTTTTCCCCATATTTTTTCTATAGGATAAGATATTTGAACCTTGATAACCATGGTAGTTAAATTACTAGTCTTGTCTCTTGTATATTTTGCATATTGTTCAAGAAATCTTTTTTTTTTTTTTTCTTTTTTTTGTAGTGCTGAGGATTAAACCCAGGGCTTTTGAATCCTAAGAAAGCATTTATTACAGAGCTAAATATTAGCTCCTTTATCTTTATTTGAAGAAAGGATTTTGCTGTTGCCTAGGATGGTCTTGAATTCCTGAGCTCAAGTTATCATCTTGCTTTAGCTTCCTGAGTACAGTAGCTGGGAATGCAATCACTGTGCCTGGCTTAATTTTGTTTTTGTAACAGGTTTATTGAGATTTAATTTATGTATCATAAAGTTTACCTATTTGAAATGCAATATTTAATGGCTTCTGATATACTTACATAGTTGTATAGCCACAGCCATGAACTACTTTTAAAATAGATCATCGTCTCAAAAAGAAATCTGTATTCCTTAATAATCAGTCCCTACTCTCTATCCCCAGCCACTTAGTCTACTTTTTATCTTTATATTTGCCCATTTTGGACATTTCATGTAAACAGAGCAAATGATACATGGTCTTTGTGACTGACTTCTTTCATTTAATGTAATGTTTTTAAGATATTGCATGCTGTAGCATGTGTCAGTACCCTATTTACATAGTATAACTTATAGAAGACTAAATATTGGTTTCAGTGTTTCTCAGTGAATTAAATACTCATACTAGGGATCCTGGGCAGATGGCAACAGTGGTACAGTGGCTTACTAAATATTTATGGTGTTCCCATGAGAACAGAATAAATAAGAGTAAGAAAACCAAAAACAGGGACATTAGGTCTAAGAAAATCAGTTGACTGTGTTTTTCCATATACTCTCAAATAACAGCAGGTTGGGGACAAACCATGAACAACTCCGAGACCTGTATGTTATCATCAGTATTAGAAGCAGAAGGAAGCAGTGGAACATCTGATGAACCTGAAAAATGGAAAAAATAGCCAAAGGCTATTAGAAATCTTGGAGGGCCACTTTAAGAATACTAGCTGAAATTGGGAAGAGTGTTACACATACCTGTAATGGGTAGTGTTGAAAGATGTTTATTGTAAAGCCTGAAAGGACTGGAGTCCCTTCCCAAATTTTAAAAACTAATCAACGGAAGCTTCCTTTTAGGGCCTGTCATCATAGTGAGGAGGAACTGAGAACTCAGTTAAGTATCCCTGAAGGGTATAGACAAAGAAGCGAATGTTCACATAAAAGTCTGGGGCTATGAACAGAGATAAAAGACAGAGAAACTATATTTTTGAACACAATGGAAACTACAAAAGAATTTCAGGGGTTTTGTTTGGGGGGGGGCAGAGGATCAAACCTGGGACCTTGTACTCATGAGGCAAACACCTCAACACTGAGCTACATCCCCAACTCCAAGAGGGAATGTTAGAGTGTGAAGTTAAAGAATTTATTCAGAGCCAATCTCTTTCAAAAATCAATAATATAAAATGGTATCTTCAAGTTTCCTGCAAAGTTTTTAAAGAAAAACAAGACTCCTATAGATAATGAAAGCACTCCAGAAAGACATGAAAACCAGGAGATACTAAGACAAAAGATATAATGATAAGGCATTTCTAGAAACAGCTTTGCATAAGAAAAATTTCAAAACGTAGAGCACAATAAAGTGTCAGAAACAAAGTTTATTTTAGAAATGAATACAGATGAGAAGGAATACAAGTAAACAACCTTAACAGGCAATAAGAGGGAAAGAACTTTAAAAGGAGAAAGACATTAAAAACAAAAACATAAGAGAGGAGGAAAGAAAATGGTGGAGTGCAGACCAGCAGCAAAACATAGGCTCTACAAAGACCTAGGATCAAGACGACTGGAAAACAACAACTTGGTGAAAAGAAAAAAGAAGTAGATTTCCAGGAAACTGGAGGGTGCTGGCAGGAAAATGGAAACTACAGAGAAGCTGGAGAAACAATAGTACAATGCAGAAAAAGGAAGAAAGCAGTTGGGAAAGGAGCCCTGTCTTCAGGGAACTGGACCTGTCTCCTATGACACAAGGTAAGCCCAGAGAGGGGCAGCAGCTGCAGGGAGAAACATCAAACCAGGCTGGAAGTGCTGGCCTCTGGAAAAGCCCATGGCTGTTGTAAACTGCAAAAGCAGCAGAGGGTTTTACACTGAAAGTGACTCCTGCAGGGAATGCTAGAGTTGGATAAGCAATCTAGTGCCATGCCCACCATACATGTTGGAGAGTGGTTCATCAGGAGCCATTTTGGGAAGGGATTGTTTTATACTGAGCTATCAAGTACAGAGCAACTTCAGTTCTGGTGTCACTCTATTGCAGTGACTGTGTGTGAAACGGCAATTGTGTACAGTTGCAGAGCGGATGCAGGCTAGACATAGGCACCTGAGAAGTTAACCTCAGGCTGGGAAGTTCTTAGGGATCACACCTCCAAGTTAAGAACACACGCTGGACCCTGTGTGGCCTTCAGAAGGGGCTGAGATTGAAAGAGGTGGCACACCTTGACTTGGATAATTGCCACACACAGCCTGGGGTGTATGTACAGACGGGTCTCTGAAGCAGGGAGGGCGTGACACAGACCCACAGGCCACGGAGTTAGGTAGAGAAAGCCATGAGTTGGGATGCCCATAGTAGCACAGAGATTAGGAGCAGCTGGATTGACTGAAATTCTAGGGCAGACGCTACTGCGCAGCCATGATCAGCAGGAAAAGTGGGGCAGGATTCAGCATTTGCACACAAAAATGTGAGTGTGGAAACAAACTAGTTCTTGGTGGTGACTCACAGTCCCGTTCCCATATCTGTGGATTGTAATACTGCATATCCTGGAAAGAGAACACTCATTTAAAAACATGGAAGTATTTTGAACTCAGTTCTTTTTTTTACAATTGGATTTTGGGATTTTGTTCCTCTCTTTTCTTAGTTTGCTTTTATTATTTATTTTGTCTTTGGTATACTTATCTAATTCTATTAATTTTCCCTTATTCCTTAGTAGTACCCTGTCTCATTTTTCTCTTGCCTTCTTTCTCTTTATTTTTCTAGTTTTTACTTCTTTCATTTCCCTTTTCCACATCTTCCATCTTTATTAGTATTACTGTTTTTTACTAGTATTACTATTAAGCTTTATTAGTATTTAAAGATTTAGACTGTGGTATATTGAATTCTTTTTTTTTTTTTTTTTTTTTTTTGAGACAAGGTCTTGCTATGTAGTTCAGACTGACCTAGATTCACTATGTAGCCCAAACTTGCGGTGACCCTCCTACCTCAGCCCCCTGAGTACTGAGATTACAGGTGTGCACCACCATGCCCAGCTATTACTCAGTTATTTTACACTGTTAATAGTGATATACCTGTAGGCATTTAGTAGATATTATCTGTATGTCCATACTTTGTTTGTTTTGTCTAACTACAGATCTCTTCTATTGCTGTGTGTTTTAGAGTAGTAGCTTTTATTAATTCTTATGGTATGTCAATATTTAATTTGCTTTTGACTCTATTGTTGCTGATTTTGTTGCTATTACCAGCGTGGCATAGTTATTGCCATTAATACGTTTTTACTGTATGCCAATACTTGGATTGTCTTTGTGTCATCAACAGTACTGTAGTTCATTTCCAGAGAACTGAATGCTGGGTTATTCGTACTGCGTCCTTTCATCCTCAGATTAATGGAATCTGACTGGATCTTGGGACAGAGGCAGAGGCCTATAATTGGCTATGATCAGAGTACATCACTGACAATCAGATACTAAAGAGATCTCCATACCAGCAACAGTTTTTCTACTACAATTGATCTATAAGCCTTAGTGCATATATACAAATGAAACCTAATAGAAATATGAGAAGACAAGACAAGAAATTGCCTCTAAAGATTCTCAACTTCCCTAAGTTAACTATGGAGGATCAATGAGGAAAACATAAAAAACCAAACAACTGAATTATCCAGAACAATCAAGAAGAGACCAAAAAAGAAACAAACAACAAAACAGAACAGTAAGGTAGTCAGTGAGGTCAACAAAGCAGAGTAAGCAGTTAAATAGAAAGGAAGATGAATTATCAGCAGTACATGGAACTTCCACCAAAATAGACCATGTACCAGCCCATAAAAATGTTTAAACAAAAATATCAAAATTATCCCTTGCACACTGTCAGATCATAGTGGAGTGAAACTAGAAATCAGTGGTAAAAGAAATCAGAGAAATTATGCAAACATATGGAAATTAAATAATATCCTCTTGAATAATGAATGAGCCACAGAAGAAATCAACAGGTAAAAAAAAAGTCCCAGACTCACACAGTAATGTCAGTGCAACATACTAGAACATACGGGACACATTGAAAGCAGCCTTGGAGGGAAGTTTGTAGCTGGGAATGATGTCATCAGAAAAAGTGAATCCAAATAAATAACCCAATGATGCATCTCAAGGTCTTAGACAAATGAGAGCGTCTAAACCTAAAGCTAACACAAGGAAGGAAATACCTATAAAGATAAGAACAGAAACTAATGAAATTGAGGCTAAGACATAAAAGCACAAGGAATCAATGATTTGAAAAGTTGGTTCTAGAAGCCAGGTGTGGTGGTGCATGCCTATAATGCCAGTACTCAGGAGGCAAGAGGATCGCTGTGAGTTTGAGGCCAGTCTGACCTACAAAGTGAGTTCAAGGGCAGCCTGAACCATGCAGTGAAACCTGGCCTTAAAAAAAATTCTTTAAAATAAGAAATAAAATAGACAAACTACCAGTTGATCTTACCAAAATGTGAGGATAAAAGGTCCAAATCAGTGCAATTAGAAATGAAAAAGACAGTATCACAATAGGCTCTGCCAAAATCCAGATTATTAGTAACTACTTTGAGAATTTATATGCTAATAATTGGAAGATTTAGAAGAAATAGATTCCTAGATATATATGAACCTCCAAAACTGAACCAAGAAGATACAAAAACCCGAATAATCTTGTATCAGGCAATTAGGTCAAATAAGTGATAAAAAACTACCACTAGTAACAAAATCCCAAGTCCTGATGGATTTTGTTGGCAAATTCTACAAGAGCTTTAGGGAATATCTAGCACCAGTACTACATAAACCTCTTCAGTGAAATCTAAAGGAAAGCAATACTCCAAAAGTCATCCTAAAAGATAGTGTTAGCCTGATTTCTATGCCATACAAAACAAAACAAAACAAACTTCAGGCTAATCTTTCGATAACATAGATACAAAACTCTTCAAGGTACTGGCAAACAGGATGCAACGTGTTGTCAAAAAGACCATACATCATGATCAGATAAGATTCATCCAATGGATGCAGGCATGGTTCAACATACAAAACAAACATCAATAAATGTAATATGTAAATTAGGAACCGAGGACAAAAACTACATCATCTTATTTGACAAAGAAAAAACCTTTTACAAAATCCAACAGCCATTCATGATAAAAGTCCTGAATAGGTGTAGAAGGACCATTTCTCAATCTGATAAGGGCCATTTATGACAAACCAATGACTAGCATTGTATTAACTAGAGAGAAACTGAACGCCTTCCCTCTAAAATCAAGAGCAAGACAAGGATGTTAACTATCACCACTACTATTCAATTACTGTGCAATATAGTTGCTAAAACATTAACCAGAGCAATCATACAAGAGAAAGAATTGAGAAGGATATGTATGGGAAATCATGTCATTATTTGCAGATGACGTGGTCCTCTACAGAGATTACTAATCCAATTCAGTACTGTAACAGGGTAAAAAGTCAGCACACTAAAATCAGCACCATTCCTGTACGTTAATAATAAACTTAAGAAAGAAATTAGGAAGGAAGAAATTAGGAAACAGTACGATTCATAATAGCATTAAGAAAAATTAAACACTTAGAAATTAACCTAACCAGAGAAGTGAAAGACCTCTACAATAAAAACTACAGTACTCTGAAAATAAGAGATCAAAGAGGATATTTAGAAGAATGGGAAGGTATCTCTTATTCTTGGATAGGCAGAACTAATGTTTAAAAAAATGGCCATATTTCTAAAACTAACATACAGATTCAATGTAATCCCTGTCAAAGTACCAATGACATTACACTTAATCTATTGGGAGATAAAATAGGTGAAATGCTTGAAGACATACAAGTGTAGGCAAGGACTTTCTGAATGGAACCCTTGTGACACCAGAAATAGTACCAAGAGCCAACAAATGAAATCATATTGAATTAAGAAGCTTCTGCATAACAAAAGGAAACCACCAAAAAGAGTAGAGACAACCCACAGAATGAGGAAAAATTTGCCAGCTATTCTTTGCATAGAGGACTAATATCTAGAATATATAAAATTTTTTAAAAAATTAGACCTCCTCCAAATTTAAAGACCTGCATAGAATAAAAATGGGCAGTTGAACAGATACTTTTCTGAAAAAGAGAAATACAAATAGCCAATAAATACATGCAAAAATGTTCTGTATCTCTGGCCATTAGAGAAATACAAATTAAAGCAATGCAAAGATGATTCTATTTTCCCAGAAAGAATGATAGTCATCAAGAAATCAGGTAACTGCAAATGCTGGTGAGGCTGCAGGGGAAAGATGAAGATGATAGGAATGTAAACTTTTACAAACATTATGGAAATCACTATGGCGATTCCTCAGGACATTCCATTCAACTCATTCCTTTCCTAGGGATCTTCCTAAAAGAGTCAAAGGCATCATATTACAGTGATAAATGCATACTGATGTTTATAGAGCACAGTTTGCCATAGCTAAATCTTAGAAGTGGCGTGTGTATCCATCTTTAACTGGAGAACAAGTTTTAGAGAATCAAAAAACTAGACCTGCATTAAATTATTAATTAATAGATCTTGAGGACTGGGGATGTAACTCAGTGGTAGAATGCTTGATGCATGAGCACAGTGCTCTCAAGCACTGTAAAAATAGGAGGTGGAGGAAAGTTTACATATGCATAAATTAAATCAGAAAAAATGAGGGTTTAAGTGGAGAAAGTATGGTCTGTAAAGAGAGGAAAATGGAGGGATCATATTCAAAACATCGTAATTATTTTCATCAATCATGGTGGCATTACGATTGTATCAAGACTCTGGGGCCAGGGATATAGCTCAGCAGCACAAGCACCTGCCTGGCAAGTGCACAGTGCTAAGTCCAGTTCCTGGTACAAAAACAAAACAAAACAAAACAAAACAGTCTGTGTTATCAGATGTAGTGGCACATGTCTATAATCCAAGCACTCAGGAGGCTGAGGCAGGAGGATTGCTGTGTGCTCCAGCCAACCTGGACTACAAAGTGAGTTCAAGGCTGGCCTGAACTGCATAGCAAAACCCAGTCTCAAAAAGACCAAAAAACAAACAAACAAAAGCATTAAGAATCTGTATTTTATATGAAATAAAAATCAAATACAGTAAACTATTATTCTAGCTTTAGAATTGAGAACTGTAGTTCTTGGTATTGAAGAAAGGAATGACTGGGGATATTTATGTGTGTATGGAGGTGGGCATAGAGATAGAGATAAAGAAGATCAACATTCAACTTAAGGAGTTTTGGTTTGTTTTAAAGAACAGATAAACCTTTTTTTTTTTCTTGGAAGAGTGAAACAGTAACAATAAATTAACAGTATAAAAGCAATTAAAAAGAAAAATCAAAAGTGAAAGGTTCCTAAGTTTGATTCCTGGTACAGAAAAGAAAGAAAGAAAAGAAAAGAAAGAGTGAACGAAAAGAAAAGAAAGATAGATCAATAAAAGACAATTGAGCAATAAAATCAGCTAGTAAAACAAATTTAGCTCACTAGTGTAAGTCCCTGCCTGACAATCACAAGGTTGGGAGTACGATCCTGGTACCACACACACACACACAAAATCAGCTACTAGTCAATTGGAAAACCTGGTCAGAAAAAAGAGCATGTGGACAAAATAAGAAATGAGAAAAACTAACAAATTCTGAGAATATTATTAGCAGTTCTGTCCACCCATTTCAAAACAGAGCATTAGATGATTTTTCTGTGGACAGGTTTTGTCATGTTAGGCATACGAGAAACAGGGAATTTTCTTGTTTAAATTATTGTAGAGGACAGCAATTTAATGATGGAAGACCCCCAGTGAGACTTAGTAAACCTGGAAACAGGAATACCAGAAGTTCTGTTTCTACCCTCTAGATCCAATTAGCATTGTGAATGGGCCCTGTGTACTCTGGCTCCAGTTGGATTTGGAAGTGAGGAGCCCCTGCAGGGACTTGGAGAAAAGGAACACTTAGTCTGTTGCCTTCTATTTCCTGTGTAGAGGCTGTGACACTATTCTGAAAGTCCGGATCCTTCCTTAGAGGCCCATGGGCTTAGAGCTGCTACTGCTTTTTAACTCATCTAGGTTACTGTACTATCCCTTGTTATTCTCCTAAATTTCACCCACAGTTTTCTTAATAAACCTTTGGTCAGTAAACCTTTTTAAAATTAGTTTAATTTGTGAGGACCATATTGATTCCTGTTCTGATTGGGCTGATGAGAGTTAAGATTTTTGCATTTATAGAAAATATTAGATATCCTAATTTTGATGATGAAAAAAAATAAGTGCAGGAAAATTATGTTTTATAGAAAAATGTACTGTAAAATTTAGAAAAATGGTATCTTTAGAAATATTTAAAATGGTTACTATATATCATACGCATTTAAAAAGCATAATGGAGCTTTATATGTTATTATTTACCATGTGTTAAATATTAGTATTGTTATCTATTTTAAATTTCCTGATTATGATCATTATATTATAGTTATATAGAAGAATGTCCTTGTTCTTAGGAGATACCTGCCACAGTATTGAGATGTGAAATGTCGTTATGTCTGTTACTAATTCTCAAATGGGCTAGCAAAAGAAAAATATGTGTGTATGTATAAGTAGAAACATAAAACAAATGTGTCAGTGTTAATGATGAATCTGTGTTAAGGTATATGAGTGTTCACTGTCAACTAATGGTGCAACTTTTTGGTATCATTCAAGTTTTCAAAGTAGCTAGGAGTGGGGCATACACACTTGTAATCACAGCACTTGGAGAGGCTGAGGCTGGAGAATTGCCACAAGTTTGTGGCATAATGAGACTGTGTCTCAAAAACCAAAAAAGTAAAATAAAATAAAATAAATGTTCAAAATAAATAGTTGGAAAATACATTCAAAACAAAAAGTAATATATTATGGATAAAGAGCTTTATTATAGACTAAAAAGAAACATAACATACTAGCATTAGAACAAGTAAATCTTTTTTTTTTTGTCTTTTTCATTTTTATCAGTACCGGGGATCGAACTCACGACCGCCTGCTTGCAAGGCAGGTGCTTATGCCGCTGAGCTAAATCCCCAGCCCCTAGAACAAGTAAATCTTAAATGGAGAAATACAGAAAACCTTTTTAAAAAGGATGCTTGACCTCAATACTAAAGGAATACAGTGTTTTTTGTTTTGTTTTTATGTTGTGTTTTAAGAATGGATCTTACTATATTACATGGTTTATGCAGGCCTTGAACCTCCCCAGTCCTGGGATCACAGGCATGTGGTACCACGCCTAGTGGAAATGCAATTTAGATGAGCTGTCTGTGTGTATCAAAACAGCAGAGATGAAGAAGTGTTGATGGAAGTGTCATACACTGAACAAACTCCTAGGCGACTGTTAAAGCCATAGTCCGGTGCCATTTTGTATGCAATGTGGGGGTATCTGTATATGCTTATAATCTGTATGCTCTGTAATTACAGCAATTTAATCTAACCAGGCAGTAAGTAAGGTTATATACACAAGCAGGTGCATTGCCAGCATTTTTTATATTAGAAAGAACATTTAAGGAGCTGAAGATTAAGCTCAGAAGCCTGCTTAGCAAGCAGAGGGTTGTGAGTTCGATCCCTGGTACCAAAAAAGAAAGAACATTTAAATGTCCATACATTGAGGTTTGAATTCACGTAGAATACTTTTTAACTATTAAGTGTGCAAGTTGCTAATATATTGATGAAGAACAAGATCTTTGATTACTATATTAAAAATAAATGCAAGTTAGAGAAAAATATATACAATATTGCTCCTATTTAAAGTAAAATAGTTACATGTTACAGACATGGTTTTATGTATACTAACATCATGTAGGTTTTGAAACATAGTTGGGAAAATATTTTAAAAGGTTGAGAGTGGATCTTGTTTTTTATTGTTTTTGGCATTTTTCTTGAAAGATGTAATAGTAAATATAACTAAATCATGTAAAAAGTCTACTGATTTTTTAATAATTTCTTTGTATGCTGCTTTGTTGTGACAGTCTGTTAATGTAATAAAGCCTGGTTAAGGAACTCACTTTGCTCTCATACATTCTGTTTTCAGAGCAGTGGGAAGAGCTCAGTGCTAGAAAGCCTGGTGGGGAGGGACCTGCTTCCCAGAGGCACTGGTATTGTCACCCGGAGGCCTCTCATTCTGCAGCTGGTCCATGTTTCACCAGAAGACAAACGAAAAACAACGGGAGAAGAAAATGGTAAATTTCAGGACTGGAGATAAGAATCATTGAAAATACTGTTCTAATATTTGGTCTAATCTAAAACAAGGTACAAGTTGATTAGACAATTAGGAATTAGTAGCAAAATCAAATCCTGTGAAGATTAGTATGCATCTTTCCTAAAGTAAAAAAGTAATTTATGTTGTTTTGAAAGGCCATGAATAAAGTTGTTAGGAACAGCTCCTTTTGAATAAGTCAGTTTACAAACTGCAGTTAATGCTAGTGGAGGATCCATTGAGACACTTAGTAAATACTTAACCAATTATTTTTTTTTATTTAAATTTTATTTATCTATTTATTTTTCAGAAGTTCTTGCCATGTAGTCCAGGCTGGCTTCAAACTCTTCGGTAATCCTCCTTAGCCTCCCTAATGCTGGGACTACAGGCATGCACCACCACACCTGGCATTGCCAATTATTTTAAAGAAAAAAACCTTGCATTTTCTGGAATGAGTTAATTTCCTGTTTTTCTCTAGTTTCCCAGTTTTCTTTTTTTGTACCAGGGATGAACTCATGACCTCACGTTTGCCAGTTAGGCGCTTATGCTGCTGAGCTAAATCTCTGGCCCGGTTTCCCAGTTTTAACCTTGATGGTTTTGGCTTTGTTTTAACTTTGATGGTTTGGCTTTTTTTTTTTTTTTTTTGAGATAGGGTCTTGCTATGTAATTCAGGCTAACCTTCAACTCATGATGATCCTCCTGCATTAGCCCCTGGCTTTTTACGTTGGTTTAGATTTTTTTTTTTTTTTGTCTTTTTCCTTTTTATCGGTCCCGGGGATCAAACTCATGACTGCCTGCTTGCAAGGCAGGCGTTTATGCCGCTGAGCTAAATCCTCAGCCCCTGGTTTAGAATTTTTAAATCACCTAGATTCTAGTTGAAAGGTTTGATTTTGAGTAAAATTAAGAGGGCTGCTTCTAAGATGAGCGTTGGTACCTTGCCTCCCTTTTTCTGGTTTCCTTTGTCCCTTGATCTAGAAGAATTACCAAGTGCTGTATTTACAGCATGAGTTTTAATTTTTAAGTTGTTATTGTTACTCTTCCTCATATTGAGGTTTACGTATATAGCACATTCTATTTTCACTTTAAAAGATCCACTCCTCCTCCATGGTCAAGGATTAGTCATCAGCTAAACTGAAGTTACTTCGGTAATGGATTATGTGAATACTAAGCATGAGTATCAAAGTTAGGAAATATGCATATGTACAGTTGAGTTTTTTAGAGAAAATTAAAATGAAAATATTTAAAGAAGTATTTGTTAGTGGCTTTAAAGTTACTTAGTAAATGTGTATCCTGTATTATTTATACTTAGTCAAATTTGGAGTGTTTGATGAAAATAATATATTTAGTGTTCTCATTCAGTTCCAAGTTTAGCTTGGCTTATAAAAGTTTATAAAATAGCTCTAATTATTAAAAACCTTTTGCAGTAGAGTGCCATGTCTGGAAAGACACTCTCAGTGCAGTTTCATTGCGTGTCTTACATTGAGATTTAAGACAGGATAACAATGTTGACTGGATATTTAATTTTTGGATATTTAATTTCTTCATCTGATTTTTTTAAAAATCATAGGGGCTATTAATGATGATTGGTATTTATTTATTTGTTTGTACTGGGATGTTTTTATTTTAAAATAAGGAACGAAATTGTCTTGTGCATCTACTGTGACTCTACAACATTAATCACTGAAGCAAGTTAAAGAAGTTGTAGATGTTAAAATATTTTTGAGTAGTCAGGGATGCCTAGGAATCTTAGTTATGTTAGGGATCTTCTTGGTATGTTACTAATGCCTTTCCATTTCTTTTGTATTTCTTTATTATTGAAATTCTAAACCTTGAGTTTAGTCATTCTTGGATAACCTGTGGTTCAGCCTTAGTTGCACAGAATAACATGTTTTAAATTTCACCCCTACTGAATTTACCAAATGTACCAAACAAGAAACTGTATTACGTTAGATCTTTTTAACTTTTTAATTTTCTTCAGTCACTTTGACTGGTAGATAAAATTATTTTATCTACTATCTTTCTTATTTTATCTACTATTTTTCTATCTCAGAAATTATTTGTGGATGATGGGTAGTGTTGCCTTACATGAAGCTTCGCTGGTTAGGAAGGAGTAGACACATCAACTTCTTGGTATCTCTGCTTTGTGTGTGTTGGGTTTTGTTAACATCTTGTCTTTGTTGTAAGTCTTCAGTCTGCCTGTCTTTTCCTGTATATATATTTTTCCCAAGCTTAGTGCTTATTTTGTTTTTATGTGTGTATGTATCCCCTACATACTTGAAATGACAACTCAGCAACTCGTACACAAAATAAATTTCATAAATTTGCATACTAGTTTTTCTTTTCTTTTTTTTTTTGTCTTTCTGAGATAGGGTCTTGATCTGCAGTTCAGGCTGGCCTTGAGCTCACTTTGTAGACCAGGCTAGCCTCAAATGCACAGTGATCCTCCTGCCTCAGCTTCCCTAGTGCCGGGACTACAAGTATGTGCCACCATGCGTGGCTCTAAAGTAGTTTTTTAGCTTCTCTTTTTAGCTTTAGGTCCTTTAGCTCTTTGGGATAAGCAGTTGCAGCTTATCACAACATTATTTTAACTCAGAAAAAACTAGCAACTGCAAAATAGATTAACATACAGTGTAGTTAGCAGAGTGTGAGCTACTGGACAATTTGATGGTGAGAAAGAATGCAAGAAAAACATAAACGGACAGAAAACCTTCAAAAAGTCACTCACTGACCATTTTTTATAGGGATTTATAAAGCCTCTGAGGACTTTGTTAGGAAACAAAGGCCTAAGTTGTCAATCATACATGAAGACCAGTGCATCCTAAGATGACATTAGGGCTGTGTTCTACTGATATCAAAACTGACTGAAATAAAATATTTTGGAGTTTAGTATGTATAGTTCAATTATCAAGGAAATTTACTTAGCAAGAGATCCTTCATTTCCACCAGTTGAGCAGTATAATCAGTATGTAGATTTATGGTATTCCAAGCTTACTTCTACTATGTAAAGACGTTTCTGTTAAAATTTTTTTTTTTGGTTCTTTTTTTTGGAACTGGGAAGTGAACTCAGTACTTTGCCCTTACCA